AATCACTACAAATTAGCCATTTTGTTTCAACACCTCCGGTGTCTTATCAAGTGATGATGTTGAATGTAAAATAAATGGTTTTAAAAGTTTCAAATTAATTAACGATCGAAGGGGAACACGGTGTTACAAAGGCTGGAATGACCAATCAAAACACGAGCATAGGAGAATTCAAAAACTTGACAACGAAGTAAGGTTATAATAGTACTCTTTTAAGAATAGTAATTGTTGGTTATTGGAATTTGTTCCGTATACAATCAATCATATATATATATATATATATATATATATATATATATATATATATATATATATATATATATATGTGTGTGTGTGTATATATATATATATATAACTAGTGAGTCAATAAATTGTCGCTTGTGCCCTCTTTAGCCAGTTTTAACCTGGAAGATCCGTTTAGGTAAAATCTTGGTAGGTAGGCCCTGCCTTACTAGTTTTTTTTGTTTTTTTAGATTTGCTCTACTTATTGTATCGAGCTCTTAATTTACTCCGTTGGTGTTTTACCCGGCATTGCGGTGCTGATCGATTATTTTTGTTCAACACGGATGTTTTAGTCTTTTCTTTTTTTTTACTGAATTTTTTCTCCCTGATATCGATTTGTTCATACAGTCAGAATATAGGTATTAAATTTACACACACACACACACACACACACACACACACACACACACACACACACACACACACACACACACACATATCAATCATACAAAAAGTAAACTAGCAAAGTTAATGATGTACAGACGAAAGTATTAGCGTATTTAAGAAAGACCTTATACAGCTTATAATTTAAGAAAACACGGATCATAACATTCATCGAGTGATTAGTAGGTTAATGTATCTTTAAAATTTTCTTAGAGAAGGGATTTCGCCATTTTATATCATTAACTTTACTAATCTACTTTTTGTATGAATGATTCATTGTAATATAAATTGAACTGCACCACATATTTGATATATATATAATATAAAAGGCTCAAATACTAATATTCCCAGGTTATAATTTATTACACTGGAATCTTAATCAGGATCCAGTAGATCAGACCTACAAATTCAAAAAGAAATCGGAATTTGTAGGTCTGATGAATTGGATCGTGATTACAATTCCAATGTAATAAATTATAACCATGGGATATTAGTATTTGAGCCTTTTATATTATCTCTCTCTCTCTCTCTATATATATATATATATAGATATATAGATACAGATATAATGTGGTGCAGTGCAGTTTATATTATATTCTTACTCTGTCCTGGACATTGAGTTCTACCTGGATTCTATCATCTTGGAAATTTTATATATATATATATATATATATATATATATATATAATACAGACAATGAATATATTGGTTGCGCAAAGATTACATTATTAGATTGATTACCGTGTTTGTTAATAGTTCCATGAAGTCGTATATCGCCAACAAACAAAACAAAAAGAAATCCTACAACTCATCACTTATAACACAAAAATACAATATCACATAAACTGCAAAGCCACTATAAATTTTAGAAGCATTAAGCATAAAAACATACACAAAACAACAGTAATAAAATGTTATAAGATTTCGGAAAAAGTTATAAATGCATTTCATCAATAAAAACGCGGCACTATAACACGAATTGCCATTGAGGAGACGAAAAACAAAAATTTTTGTTAATTACTTCTGAAAGCCGAAATTACTCAGGCATTGGACAATTTATATTTAAATATGTACAAGTAACAAGGAAAAGAATATAGAAAAAAAAAGAATATAGAAAAAAAATATATTTAAGAAATTTTCAGCAAATAACTTTAACCTGGGCAAAACTGATAGGTTGTTAAAGAAATCAATTAAAATAATCTACCTTCAGTGACTCTCAGGACTTGGATTAGATTAACTACCCAAAACCTATCCTAGAATCATTCAGTTAATGATCTGTTTGTATACTGAGGCCAGAGTATAATTTAAATCGCCTGTGCAGGGCAGCTGATTGATGATGTCTCAGAAACGTCCCAGGGCTTTGGCCAAGACAGATCAGATGACCAAACAAATACGGTTCTAATGTGGACAGTGTCAGGCGAGCGGTTAGATTGACCCTTGTTTGTTTGCCACAATTCTCAGCGGGCTAAAACTGCTCTTCAACTTTGCAGACCCTGACTAAGTCCACAATGCACGGCACTGACGATTTTGATAAACAATAGAAAAAAAAAAGGTCCAGTCGAAGGCTATAGACATCATACGGCCACCTGTGGTCAGTTCCTAAATATCTTTTCAGCAGAAGGGAAAGATTAAGCGATTTTTACTGTTTCGACAGGCATAGTATTGACATATATAGACGATTTGAAATGGTATTGGGAAAAGAAGAGACACTTTGCCCAAAGTGTGTATACTAGTGGACAAGTGTAGTTATTATAATATGCGATTGTCCAGAAATTCTTGGTTTAGGGATTGCGAAATTAACTTCTTAATTCTTGATATCTCTTATACTAAATCATTTTTTTACACAAGGAGAAGTCTACTGAGCCCCATGCAAAGAAATATTTTCAAAACGGGTGGACAGATTTCCTCTCAGACTAAATTTGAAGAAATTAAGAAACAGAAAAAAATAATGGACAATTTCCCTCAGGAAAAACTAAAACTAAAGTCAGCAGAAACGCGGTTGTACAGAAGGATACTGAGAATTCTGTGGCTAAAGAAAATAGCAACAGAATAAATAAAGATCAAGTAAAGACGGAATTATTTGGATAGATAACGAGGAAGGAGGGCTTGGAAAATCTAACCCTCACAGGGCATTGTGGGTGCTAGAAAGATAGAAGGCAGCAAACCACTTATCTGAAGCGTTTGTATGAATGGACGGCGGAACAAGGGGCGGAGAATAAAGGTTAAGAGTCACAAGAGATAGAAAGATGTGGAGAACCATGATCGCCTATGTGCCGAAGGGGCGAGGCACATGAAGAAGAAATATATTGCAAAACAATGAATGGAAAACCTCCTTTATTCGCAGGCAATATGTCGTTGAAACACCGCTTCCCCTAAACACATTAAAGTAAAGCAACGTCAAGCCTGGTCAGTAACTAGATGGGTGACCATTTGGGAATACCAGGTGCTGTAAGCTTGGATGTGCAGGTAGTATAACGTTGCAAAACCAGTTATCATACGCACATTAAAGTTAAGCAGCATCCAGCCTAGTCAGTACCTAGATGGGTGACCGTCTGGGACGAGCAGGTGCTGTAAGCTTGCATATGCGGCACACATGTTGAAATGGACAAAGTCCGACAATTATTTTTAAGACTTTTTTTATGTTTATACATTCTTTTTATAGATACAAATATTTAAGTAAATGCTCTGTTTATAATAAACAGTATTAAACAACATTTAGCGGCCTGAATGTCCGAGAAATTTCATAATTTGTGACGTCATTTGTTTACATTTGATACGCCATGAGCAGATATGAATGTACGTGAGAGTTTCATGGAAGATTAAAGTTTAAAGACAGTAAAATCGACTTTGCTAATCGAACTCTCCTCTGTGGCCGAAACGGTTAAAGGCACGCCAGGCTATATGACGGTTCTGTATAGGATGCAGGACGAAAATTTTCTATGAAAACTTCTCGGACATTCAGGCCGGTAAATGTTGTTTAATACTGTTTATTATAAAACAGAGCATTTACTTAAATATTTGTATGTATAAAAAGAATGTATAAACATAAAAATGTCTTATATATATATATGATAAAATCTATTAATTCTTTGACACTGAATGTCCGAGAGATTTCGTAGAACATATGCGTTCTCTGACAGGAATCGAACCTGTATCCTTATACGAAAACCGTCATTTGATCTGACGTGGTAAACCATTTAGCTACAGAGAAGCGTCTGGTTAGCAAAGTCCAAATTACTGTTTTTAAAAATACAATCTTTGACGATTATTCTCGATCGATCATATCTGATCACCAAACGTATCTTAACGTAAATAATGACAACATATTATGAAATGGATTAAGTTCGACAATAAATTAATATATTTTCTGTTTAAATGTTCTCTGTTGCTAAATGGTATAGGGCATCAGATGAAATGTATTTGGAAAAAAAAAGACAGAGGGAAGCCACATTACGTCAGTGAGAAAGTGACTGGAGTCGAGATGTCAAGTCAGGACTGTTCACATTGCTTATTCTTCTTTGAATTTTGCCGGGAACCGCGAGATTAACAAGGGCATAAGACCATATATAGCAATAGTATTCAATGAATGGACGAATGGCAGATTTGTAGATGTAAAGGATGTACTTAGTCAGTCGTTCACTTCTGAACCGACTGCTCGGTTTGAACTCTCTTCCTACGGACGGGAGGAACCCGAAGGAGGCTACGCCGAAGGGCGGAGTCTCCTTCGGGGATGTAAAACCGGCCCTGAACTCGTTTATACGGGTTCAATGGGCATATTTTTGGCCGAGCCCACGGGCTCGGAATGCCCACGTTAAAAAGGCCTTGTGCCACATGACACCCTCGTGGGGTGGGGGTGACTGAATATCGTAAACGATGTACTTAGACGAGAAAAAAACCTTCTGGCACGACACCTTTCTATCAACATGTGGTATTTCTCAAATTTAACCGCACGGGCCACATTTTTTGTTATTTTCATTAATGATGATTATTTTTTATTTCTTTTCTTTGGGGGTGGGCGGTGGGTTAATTTAATCTTTGTTTCTTAAGACCGTCATTTCCCAAGCAACCATTACATTCATGAATGAAAAACGCAACGAAAAACACTTCACTCATATAAAATGTAACACTGTTTAAAAAAACGTTCAGCGACAAACTTTGATGCGACGCTCCACTCTTCTGTTACTCGACTGTCGCCACTGACCTTTCACTCTCCTCAGCACCTCGCTCTACTAACCCTCCCTTGCGGATAAGAACTCGTTCATCTTGTGTCCACAGCATTCTGAAATTAAAGACACCTATACATTCCACCTCATTTGAGTGACACTGTAATTATTTTCTCAAATGTTGGGATTATCGATGGGGGGGGAGGTGAATAGGGTGGCTATGGTGTCTGGGTGGGTTTTTAGTTGGAGGGAAGAAAGGAAGAATTTGGGCGGAGGTGGAGGACAACGGAATTGCACGTTGGCGGGCATTTTTTTTTTCTTTTTCGCGCCGCAGTCGGCCATCTTAGAGTTTGGAGTCGATTGTCCGGAGCAACGGCTGGGGGGGGGGGAGAAAAATCGAGAAAATAGGACTGAGACATAAAGTATAGGCAGGCAACACCGGCTGTTTCTGTCATATAAGCCTTCGATGGCAGATCAACGTTCTAGGTGGGACAAGAACGGATAGGTGAAGAAAGAAATGAGAAAATATGAAGATGAGCAGAGAGAAAACAAGAAGGAAATGGCGAAACTAGAGAAACAGTAATAGTGACAATAATAGAGTATTTAAAGACTATAGAAGCGGTTAAAATGAGATTCGTAAAATACACAAAAGCGAGTCGGGAAAGGATCATGACAACTGCTTGTAGCAGTAAGACAAGTGATAAAAAGATGTCAAACGAGAGAAAAATAAGAAACACAGCAAGAAGTAAAAAATACGAAAAAAAATCTCCACGGTGCAAAGAAATTCACCGGAAAGAAGTTATTTTTATCGACCTAACTGAAACAATTGTATGATAATAATTACAAACATATCGCCATATTTGTTTAGATTTGACACCTAACTGTTTATTCTGGATTTTGGAGCTGTTTTCTTCTTCTTTTTGAAATTGTTTAAGAAAGTCGACACAAAATGTAAAGCTCACGTCCACATGACGTTACAACGCCGGTTCTTGTACGATCACTGAAGTTAAGCAATGTTGAGCCTGGATGGGTGACTGCTTGTGAATATCAAGTATTGTAAGTTTGGATCTGCATGTGGTGCAATGGATAACCCCACGAAATTCGGAAATCGTGGAACCGAGTTTCAATTCCAGTCGGGTTCGTTATATTCGCTTACGCGCAAAAACCGTTGAGAAATGTATGATTATTCTTTTTCTGCCCACAGCTATGGGTTAATTAGTAGAACTTGCATCAGTCTGCCTTCTATCAGCATGGCTGATGCTAACCTCCAAGAAAGTGACTCGTTGCACCTTCTCGGGCTAACGTTTTTAACTGATATAAAGTGGAAAGACTATATTGTATCTATTGCTAGGTCCGCTGCTAAGACAGTTGGTTCACCGAGTCGGGCAAGACAATTTTTCTTTCCAAAATCTATCTTACATATCTATAAGTCTACCATTCGTCCATATTTGAATATTGCTACCACATATGGTCTGGTGTTCCTTCTATTTATCTTGAGCTATGTGATAAGATCCAAAGAAGAATCAGCAATATTATTGGTCCTGATCTGGTGGCTCAGCTTCAGTCACTTTCTCACTGCCATAAGGTTGGATTTCTGTGTCTTCTCTATAAATATTATAATGGTAATTATTTGGATGAGCTCTTCGTTGTGGTAGCTCGATTTTAATCTGCAAAAATTTAAATGCAATATCAATCGCTATCTACTGTCTTTCTTATTACTCTTTTCTTCCACACCCTGTAAACCCTTCTCATTTAGTGGCATTACTGCCTTGCACGGGGTGATACTGATTTTAAAAAATAAAGCAGGTCATTTTGAGCAATAAATTAAGGGGCCAAACTTGTTATATCGATTACTCGACTTCCTTTAAAAAACATCCATGAGGAAAATTGAATGAAATAAGTGACAGAAAACACGAAGATCAACTATGGAAAGATTTTCACCCACGCATGTCGTCCTATCCTCAGTGGATAAGATCTGTGGTTTTCAACCGCCGTGGGGTGGCACACTGGTGCGCCGCGCGATCCTCTTAAGTGTGCCGCAAAATATTGTCACGGCATACATATTGTTATATACCGTACTTATGAACACCACTGGATATGTGCCAATCCTCATAAATACGTTGGACATTATTGTAAGTGGGGGTAATATGGTGTCTAAGTAGTCCACCACTACCAGTGGTTTACCTACTTCATGCCGCTGGAGAGTATTGTATTTTGTTGATGTTATAAAGATTACCATTGCATTTCCAACCTCCGTTTTGGTTATTCCTCATTTCGTACCCTTTCCTAGATTACAACGCATGTGTGTGTGTGTGTGTGTGTGTGTGTGGAATTAGTAATGATACAGCGTTAGTATTTGAATAAATAAGTATTAAGCGTTTTATTTTTAAAAAAATATTTCTTTTCACTATTCTTCGATTGTTATTTAAATACTTTGTTTTAATATTGATTTTTTAAAAAGTATTTTTATTTTTTTAATTTAACTTTTTAAAATTTTCATTTATTTGAATAATCTTTTTTTTCATATATTTATATTCAACATTCTTTGTTTAATACAAAATTCATGGCTTTATTTAATAACATTTAAAAGTAGAGATTTTCCAAGCGTAGCTTAGATGTGGCACAATGCCGAAAGTATGGGACATCTAGTGAGGATCGAACTCACTTTTCAGTAGTAACTGATCTAACAAGACAAGCTGGCTAACCATTACACCACGCCGAGGGGCCAAAAGCCTTTAAAAAAGTATACGCTTTAGAAATTTTGCTGTGTCGCGTTATTTTCATTTGTACCTTAGTGTACCGCTGCTTAAAAAGGTTGACAAATATTGGGTTCGATGGATGTACAGAAGCGATGTGACTACTGGCAGGAACAAGGTAGATGTGGGGTGAAGCTTATGTAGTGAAGTGTTGAACCCATAGCGAATTCCAGATTACATAAAGATGACATCTTCTTCTATATGCGCCATCATAACGTCTTTGGCGGGAAAATAGAGTTTGATTGCTTCTTTCTGTAAGTGCTTTTAGTCTTTCATCTTCTTTTATATGCCGTGTCCCTTCAGGAGGTTGACGATCATGGATCTCCACAATTTCCTGTCCTTTGTAGCTCTTACTAAATTTTGCCATTTTGTTATCTCTCCTAAACTTTGTTCCGCCATCCATTTATTCAAACTCGCTAGGTAGGTTATGTGTTGTTTTCCTCTCTCTTGCCGCCAGTCTCTCCTGTGAGTATCAAATTTTCCAATCCCTCTTTCCTTATTATGTTCCCTAGAAATTTTAACTGTCTTTTCCTGATGTTAAGTTTCCGATTTCCAATTCCGAGCCGTTATTCACACACTTCCAAGTGGTCACCAATCTGAGTACTAAGCAGGTGCAACATTGCTTAACTCCGGTGAACGTCGTATGAAAACCCGTGTTTCGATGTGATATGACTATACGCCTATTCTAAATGAAGTGTAATCTGTTTTATGTGAAGAAATATAGCAGCTCACAATTTTAATGGATCAACAATTGCTAAAACTAATTTTAGCACATGATACGAACTACATTCCTTGGTTCCACTAACCCTAACCAGGAGCTGGGAGCCGCCATTCTACGTACACAAGGATGAATCATCCCCATTCTGATCGTATTAGAAAGAAGTAAGTCCACTCTGACATCTTATTTAACAAGAACTACTATTTGTGGAATGAGACTCCCGGCAGGATGTTTTCCCTTTCACTACAATGTTGACCTTTTCAAGTCCAAGGTTAACCGTTATTTCTGTTATATAAGCTCATGAACTGCTTGCCTTTTCCTTTCGCTTCTACAACACCACACAGTAACTGTCTACCTTGAATGGCTTTCTTGCTTTGTATTGGATGGACATTAATATAAAAAGAGAAAACCTTGTCTTTATAAGATTATCCACATTAATACATATAGTTAATACAATGTTGACTTTTTTCAAGTCTAAGCTTAACTTTCTTACGTAAGCTTACATAAGACCCTTTTTACATTATCCAGATTATAATATTGTTTTCATTTTTTGGTTCAATGTGTCTTTGTAAACATTGGGCACGTTCTAAAAGTTTAAATTTTAATTCCAACATAATATTTCTTGGAGTTTCAGCAATCTGGCTCACATTGTGAAATTTGTAAAATTCATAAAAATGTTACTATATTAAAAGTATGACATTTAGCTTACTATAGATGAAACATATGCGGAATATCATAGGCATTAATCGGTTAAAACATTCTGTGAATTTCTTTCTTTGTTAATGGTAATAGTAATATTAGCCGCTTTCCTACAAGGAAACATTTGAAATTCATTTACCGAGCAGCCAGTACCACTTGCAGTTGAAATTTATAACATCTTTCTGTTAAAACAATTTTTCAGGAAAACAGGTTTCTCAAGTTCAGTAGCTGGTAACACTTTTTACAGTAATGATGGGGGCGGGTGAGTTCTTCAAATATATTTATTGGAAGTAGTTTAAAATGTCAACATTTTGATTATGTCATCATTTTCTGTTCGAGTTACATGTGCTATCCATGTTAGTCGTTGCTGCTGTTTGTTGTCCTCAAGTGATATGGTTTCTGTTATTGGGTACGTTTGTGATTCCGTAGCGCCAATCCACAATGCCCAAAAATGGACGATCTTTGCCAAGACTCTCGGCTTCCACATACTCAAAGTTTTTTTTTTCACAATTGATCTTGGGAAGCGATTGTATACAGATGACAGTTTAAATATTTCTAAGCAAGTTTGGCGCCATGCACGACATCCATATGAAAGACTCAATTTGACGAGGCTATTTAAGAACATGACTCGAGTTTTCAAGTTGATGTTTTCGTTTTGTAGCCATTGGCGGTGTTGAGCGAAACTATCTCTGGCGCAGCCTATGTTTCTAAATAATAGAAAATTTAAAATGGCTCTCTATTATTGATAGGGTTTTCTTACTAACCTTTTATTTGAAGCATATGAAACAATATTCATTGACCGAGCAGCCAGTATATTTGTCGGTTGAAATTTATAAAATCTTTCTCATCAGACAATTTTTCAGGAAATACGTTGCTCAAATCCAGTACCTGTTATGGCTCTTTTCAGTATTGATGGGGGGCGGGGGGTTCTTCCCAAACTTTTATTTGAATTGGTTTAAAATATCAACATCTTGATTATGTCATCATTTTCTCTTCGAGTTACATGTGCTGTCCATTTTAGTCGTTGCTTCTGTTGGTAGTCCTCAAGAGATGTGGTTTCTGTTATTTGGTACGTTTGTGATTCTGTAGCGCCACAAAGCCCAAAGAAGGACTATCTTAGCCAAGTCTCTCGGCTTTCACTCACTCAAAACCTTTTTTTTACAATTGACCATAGGAAGCGATTGTATACAGTTGACATTTTAAATATTTCTGAGCGGGTTCGGTGAAGGATGATTTTGTCAAGACTTTTCGGCTTTCACTCACTCAAAGCCTTTTTTACAAGTATTCTTGGGAAGCGATTGTATACAGCTGGTAGTTTAAGTATTTCTTAGCGGATTAAATGCTATGCGTGACATCCATATGAACGAATCGATATGACGAGGCTATTTAAGAACATGACTCGAGTTTTCAGGTTGATGTTTTCGTTTTGTGGCAATTGGCGGTGTTGAGTGAAACTATATCTAGCGCAGCCTATGTTTCTAAATATTAGAAAAAAAAATGAAAAGTGACTTGTACGACGAGGTGCGTCTCCTAGTGATAAATATAATATATACACATAAAAATGATCATTATAGGAGCGAATGCTGGACAATCCCCTCAAAGATGAAGAAGAATCAGAAAAATGGTTCTACAGAAGGATGCTGAGGATATCATGGACCAAACATCTGAGCAAATACGCGGTTTTGGCGAGAATGGAAACAAAAAGAAAACATATACGTAACACCAGGAATAGGCAGTTGGAACTTTTGGGGCACGAAATGAGGAAGGAGGGTTTGGAAAATCTGATACTCAGAGGATAGATAGAGGAAAAAAGGGACAGAGGAAAGCAGCGTGTAAAATATTTGATGGCCTTGAGCAAATGGATTGCAGAACAGGGTTTGGAAGAAATAACACAAAGATAAAACTTATTAAGAGCTGCAAAGGACAGGAAGGTGTGGAGGGCCATGATCGCCCACGTCCTGAACGGACACGGCACATAAAAGAAGAAGAAAGACTAAAAGCACTTACAGAAAGAAGAAATCGAACTTTATTTTCCCGCCACAGACCTTTATGATGGCGCGAAATCTCTATCAAGACGAAGCAACACTTTGTAACAACTGATTCGCATATTCTTATCCACTGACACTAATATAAGTTTTGATTCATTCTTTTTCTCTCGGTGAGAAGACACAAGCCCGCCATTGTTATCGCTTCTCTTCTGCTTTCGTTCTAGGTTGACGAGGTCGTCACCTTTGGTCCGAACAGGGGCGCCCTCTACCCTGTTGTGACAATGCTGTAATATCATAACTCGTACTGTTAACGCGCCCCCTTGTGTCTTCCACTAGAAATACAAAGTTAGGACAAAGCCTAAGGGTTAATACGTAGAGATATTCCGCCGGTTTCGGACTCTGAGCATCGCTCATGTCTAAAATAGCCCGCGGATAAAACGGTAAATTTGGTCAGAACGACGGGATGACAAGTGTCATGGGAGTGGGTTATGGTCGTGAGGGCACTTTGGAGCGGATTTTCAGCGTTTGGAAGAAAAGGATTGTTGCAGTAAAGATCAGGGTAGGGGTTAAATTCTGGAGTGCGTTCCGATCGCTTTAGGGGATAGAAATGATCGGTGTGAGACGGGTCAGGGAGTATTGTTTTGGGAATTCTGAAAGAGGAGGGCCAATGGAAACGCGCACACACATACACATAGAAACAATTACGTCAAGAGGGATGATGCAAAACACATTGGCTGAGAGAGAAATAGGGAGTGGAAGAAAGATATAGAAAAGAAGGAGGAGTGAGAGAGGTAAACGTAGAAAGAGGGATAGAGAGGAAAGAGCGATAGAAAGAAAGAATGACAGAAAGAAAGAGGAAGAACGAGGAGGTGAGAGCGAGAAAAAGAGGCAAAAAGAAATAGCAAAGAGAGGAAAAATAAGAAAGAAAGAAAGAAAGAAAGAAAGAAAAGGAAAGAAAGACAGAAAGAAAGAGGAGAGTAAGACAAGAAAAAGAAAGAAGAAGAAAGAGGGAATAGGTACGAGCGGTAGAATGACAAAGAAAGAAAGTGTGAGTGAAATGGAGTAAGAGTAAGTGAAAGAAAGAGCGTGAGAAAGACAGAAAAACTGGAAAAAAAAAGAAGAGAGAACGCGTGAGGGAAAGCGCAAGAGAAAGAAGAGAGAAAGAAAAAAAACAAGTAAGAGAGAAACACAGACGATACAGTGCGAAACGCAAGAAAGAAAAAGTGTGAGAAAGAGTGAGAGAAAAAAAAGGATGTGTAAGAAAAAGAAATAGAAAGAAAGAGTGAGAAAAAGAGAGAAACAGTGCAAGAGCCAGAGAGAAAAAGCAGGAAAGAAAAGAGACATAGAAGAGATAGAAAGAGAGAAAGAGTAAGAAAAAGATAAAAAAAATGAGAGCGAACCGAAAAAGAAAGAAAGAAATAGAAAGAGTCATAAGTAGAGAATGCGAAGAAAAATAAAGCAAGAAAGAGAGAGAAACATCGAGAGAAAAGGCGAGTGAGAAAAAAAATAACACAAACAAGCGGGAAAGAAAATGAAAGAGCGATAAAAAGAGAGAAAGTTTAAAAGAGAAAGAGAAAAACGACAAGAAGGAAAGAATGAGAAGAACAGCGAAAGAAAGAGAGAGAATGAGTGAGAAGGAAAGACCGAGAAACAGACACAAAAAGTGTGAGAGAAAGAGCAAAAAGGAAAGAGAGAGAGAGAGAGAGAGAGAGAGAGAGAGAGAGAGCTACAATGACGCCACTGTTATAAATATACCTATAAAAAAAAGGAAAAAAAAAGGTTTTTGGGCGATGTATCAGGTGTAATCGATTCAGATGGGTAGATAGAGAAGCACATCATCGCCTGCTGTCAAGAATAACAATGGATGTAACAGCTACTTGCTGGTACTACATATGTAAAGGAGCTCTGATAGGATGTTTACTACAAGTAAATTTGTACAATCACCGTAATATCCAAATCGGGGTAGAGTTATTCTTTTGAGTAAAGAATTTTAACTTCATCCGAACTTCCAACACATTTTACGGATTTCATTCTTCTATATGCAGTGAATGTTCAGGAAACGGGCAGACATGGTTCTCCACACCTTCCTATAATTTCTAGCACTTACTAACGCTTGTCTTTTTACCACCGCTCGTTCCACCATCAATTCACACAAACTGATCTGGTAGGTGACCCTCCACCTTCGATATGCCTTGTGAATGTCAAATTTGCCAAACCATCCTTCCTTAATATGTATCCAAGAAACTTCAATTGTCTTTTTGTGATTCACTATCATATACGAGAGGTGATATAACAGCAATTCAGCACTCCTTTCTTTCTTCCTATCTCTTAATACTTTGCTTAGTTTCTGAAAGGCATGAAGAGATTGTCCACCATTCACTCTCATATAAAAGATTAGATATTACATAGCAGTTCAGCACTTTTTTCTTTGTTCCTAATGACATTTTCCAATCTCTTAATATTTTGCTTTGTTTCTGAAAGGCATGAGAAAATTGTACAGCATTCACTGTCATATAAAAGTTTAGATATTACATAGCAGTTCAGCACTTTTTTCTTTGTTCCTAATGACATTTTCAATCTCTTAATATTTTGCTTTGTTTCTGAAAGGCATGAGAAAAATTGTACAGCATTCACTGTCATATAAAAGTTTAGATATTACATAGCAGTTCAGCACTTTTTTTCTTTGTTCCTAATGACATTTTCCAATCTCTTAATATTTTGCTTTGTTTCTGAAAGGCATGAGAAAATTGTACAGCATTCACTGTCATATATAAAAAGTTTAGATATTACATAGCAGTTCAGCACTTTTTTTCTTTGTTCCTAATGACATTTTCCAATCTCTTAATATTTTGCTTTGTTTCTGAAAGGCATGAGAAAATTGTACAGCATTCACTGTCATATAAAAGTTTAGATATTACATAGGAGTTCAGCACTTTTTTCTTTGTTCCTAATGACATTTTCCAATCTCTTAATATTTTGCTTTGTTTCTGAAAGGCATGAGAAAATTGTACAGCATTCACTGTCATATAAAAGTTTAGATATTACATAGCAGTTCAGCACTTTTTTCTTTGTTCCTAATGACATTTTCCAATCTCTTAATATTTTGCTTTGTTTCTGAAAGGCATGAGAAAATTGTACAGCATTCACTGTCATATAAAAGTTTAGATATTACATAGCAGTTCAGCACTTTTTTTTCTTTGTTCCTAATGACATTTTCCAATCTCTTAATATTTTGCTTTGTTTCTGAAAGGCATGAGAAAATTGTACAGCATTCACTGTCATATAAAAGTTTAGATATTACATAGCAGTTCAGCACTTTTTTCTTTGTTCCTAATGACATTTTCCAATCTCTTAATATTTTGCTTTGTTTCTGAATGGCATGAGAAAAATTGTACAGCATTCACTGTCATATAAAAGTTTAGATATTACATAGCAGTTCAGCACTTTTTCTTTGTTCCTAATGACATTTTCCAATCTCTTAATATTTTGCTTTGTTTCTGAAAGGCATGAGAAAATTGTACAGCATTCACTGTCATATAAAAGTTTAGATATTACATAGGAGTTCAGCACTTTTTTCTTTGTTCCTAATGACATTTTCCAATCTCTTAATATTTTGCTTTGTTTCTGAAAGGCATGAGAAAATTGTACAGCATTCACTGTCATATAAAAGTTTAGATATTACATAGCAGTTCAGCACTTTTTTCTTTGTTTAGTTTTTGGAAAGTGTCTTTTGCTATTCCAATTGGTGCTCGGATTTCGGTGTCACACTTTCCATCTTCTGTTCAAAAACTTCCCAGATATTTGCACTTCTTAACTTATTTAATTTTGACATCTCCAATTTGTAGTTCGTGTCTTGGATGTTTTCATTTGCTGACAACCATTAGTCTTTTATTCTTTCTTTCCTTTGCTATCCTTTTCTTGGAAATCCCGTTGTTTTCCTTTTGTCTGTTATCAACACAGTGTCATCCGCGTATCTAATATTGTTAAGATTTCAAGTACCGATAATAAAACCTGATGCGTTATAATATACTCATTTTAGTCCGATTCATTATTTTGATTTATTTTTAATTGACATTTCAATCCTTGGGTCCCGTAGTACGGATATATATGAACTTCGTTGGAAACGTCGTCAAATCACGAGTTCCGTAACACGTTATGGATTAAGTGTAACACATGTACTGTAACATGTAATCATCTGAATTGCGTCAAGCCAATCTCTCTTTGGTCTGGTTTTAAATTCAGTGTTTACCTTTTCCCATATTGGTTGCTACCTCAAGGCAGTAGAACCCAGTATGCCGTTCTACTTAACCCATAGCTGGAGAAAGAATTGGCAAACATGGACATTCATGCTCACAAGAAAAGCGGTCTTTCAAAAGGATGGTTTTTCATTGACACCGCTATTATTAAATACGTTCACTTCCTCGACAATTTTTGCAAGAGCAAATGAAAGAAATGGCCGAAAAATGCACTTTCTCAAAGTTTATAATTACAGTTGTTATGTGTTTATGTAAATGTTCTTGTTCATAGCCATTTTTTATAAATTTATCAATAAAGGCAGTATTTTTATATTTCCTCATGAATTGCAAAAAAAATATTGAAAAAATATTGCTTTGTATACCACATTCACAGACTGTTGTAGTATACGTACGGACGATAAATGAATATGTCCCCATTCACATAAATACAGTAGTGAATACTGTATGTTGGTCTGCAGTTGGAAATTCGTCTCCAGCTGTCCTGATCAAACTCTTAGCCTGGTGGCAGAGAGGATCCCTAGACGAGGCTATGTCGAAGGGCAGAAACAGCTGCCCGACCCCATTTTAAACGGGGAATTTGGGGATGAGCCTACGGGCTCGAATACCCCACATCAAATTTGGCCCTGTGCCACATCCGACCGCGTGGGGCGGTTGGTAGATATTCTGAAGTTGAAGATTCGTCTCCAGCTGTGCTGGTCAAACTCTCTGCCTCTAGGCACAGAGGATCCCCAGACAAAGGGCAGACTTTCGTTCCGGGAAACAGTTACCCGACCCGGGTGTCTACGGAGAATTTTTGGCCGACCCTGCGGGCTCGGATACCCCACATTAAATTCGGCCTTGTGCCACATCTGACAGCGTGGGGCGGTTGGTAGGTATCCTAGAGTTGGAGATTCATTGTGGAATTCACTTGACTCACTTTTAGCCGTTGACTAATTCTACGCGCCGCTGGCGAATCTTATATGTGTTGTTCTTGTCCTGAGTATCATCATTCATTACCAACTTTCGCGTGATTATTCTATTCAGTAACATTCCCTAGGTTACAACACAGACATTATGTATTTTTACAAAATTTATAATTAGTTATTCGTCGTTATCTGTTTATTTAAAATGTCTTGTTGATAGACAGTTTTTATAAATTTATCAGTCAAAAATATTATTTTTATATATTTTTTTTTGAATTGATAAATAATAAACATTGCATTGTATTAGTTGGTACGCATTTTAAGAATGTAAATTAATTTTTTTAAAATAAAAAATCTAATAAATAGTGTTTAATATTTGTAAATTCTCATAGAATAAAGAAAATGTATCAGATTTATTTCATATATCTGGGCTTTATTAAAATTCTAATCACTGCTTTTTAAAACAACAAGTATTGCACAGGGAGTGAAGGTAGGTAAAATTGGTAATTAGTCGATGTTTTAAAACTTATTGCATTGTAGATGGTTTACGTATTTTGATAATTTTATAATTTCTTTTTTAATTTTTGAATAAAAAGATTTATTTTCACATTTATTTTTTTTATAAAATGGTAAATAATAAATCTTTATAAATGGTAAATAATTTTTATAATCTTATAAATAAACATTGTCACTGATATTATTTTAAGTACGTTCACTCCCTTGGCAATGGAAAAAACCGACCTTTTGAAAGACCGCTTTTTGACGGGCTCGAACATCCATGTTTATCGAGGAATTCATACATTTTTTTCAATGTGCTTCTAAATGATGTGTTTCTATACGACCTCTTATCTTCCGTAGCTGAAAGCAATTTTGTCCTATTTTAACCTGCTATCCATTTACACAAGCTCTTTAGGTAGGACATGCGCTGTTTTTTCTCTGCCCTTTTTGCCTTCAATATGTCAAAAGTGTGTCTATATTTCTGAGATGAGGTATTATGTACACTATTTACATTATTCGGAGTATAGTCCTCATCTTTGTTGCCATATTTATCATAACGTAAAACGGCCGAAACGCTGTGATAAATATGGCAACAAAGATGAAGACAATACTCCGAATAATGTAAATAATGTCAGATGTGAGTGTCAAATTCTCTAAGCTTTCTTTTCTCGCAATCTGTCCCAGAAATTATAACTCTTTCTGATTCTAAGTTTCTAAGTGTCCACTTTGTTTCCATTTGTACTTAAATCTTACTCATTGCTAACATGTCCTGTCCATGATATTTCTAATACCGTCTTGTAGAGCCACAACTCTTTTTCCTAAAATCCCCTCTTCATCTGTGAGAAAAATGGCCAGCATTCACTTCATATGGGTTGTTTGATATTACATAGCATTTCAGCACCTTTTCTTTGTTTCTAATATAAATTTACCGTTACGTCATGTTTAGCTCCCTGATGGCGTCATTCCTTATTGCAATGTGTTTCGGATTCCTCTGTAACATTTTTTCTGTTGACTATTTGCACTTGCTTGCTTGTAATATTGGATAGTCCATTTTGCCATGGATTCTGTTTTCTTAGAGTTCACCATCCTTTCTTCTTAC